ACCCATACACAGAGACACTGGCACTCACACATGTGTACACACCCACATAAGCTTTTCTGTTTTTTTCTTAAAGGAAAATTAAAGTTTGCCTGAGTAATTGGTGCCAAGTGATAAGCTTATCATTTGGTAAACACATTTTCATTGATGCATTGATAAAGCTGTCTGTGACAGGAAAGACCCAATAGTCACTCCATTCAGTCATTTTCCAATGGCAAGCATGCTTTGGTTTTTTTTTCCAAAATAGACCCTGTTGAATCTTAAAAACATTGAAAATTAACCCTCTTTAGGACTGCTGGTTCCCAGCACCTATATTGTACTAAAAAAAACCAATTGTCTAAAGAGCAAAAGTTGCCTAAATGCATATAAATGAGGTGAGTATTTCTTGTACTATGCCAGATTAATCTATACATTACAATGAAATGATTTTCATGGAAAAGCTTTAGCAGGAGTGACTCCTTGTCATTATAGCAAACTGGCTTATGCAGAGGGAAGTTAGTGATATGTGAACAGTCATTATGCTATGTCAAGTTTCATTTTAAAGACCATAAGTAAATCTTTTTATGAGAAAAGCAAACTACTTCACAGTCCTACGGAAGGACATAAATCATGTTTTTATGTCCTCTATGAACCATCAGAAGACAAGTTTTAATATTTCAGATGGGACAAGCAATCTATCTACATGAATCATAATTTGGGTTCCATTATAACCAACCTTATGGATAAGTGAGTTATCAAAATACGGATCATGTCAAGATTTTAATTATTATTACAAACTAGAGCCCTCATAGATTAGGACGTGTAAAAAAAAGGACTCTTTACTTCCGTCGGTCAGTAAACGTGGAAACATCGACTTGTATTGAACTACTTTAATAAAACAATGACTCCTTACGACTTCCTGTCTACACTTCTTAAATGTTTTTTTACTCACCCAGATTTAAAATAAAGCCATTTTGATGCATGTCAAAATGATTTGGTCAAAAGTAAATTCTGTTTTAATTCACTGGGTTTTATTTCATTTTAGGTGCATTTAGGCTTTTGTAACCAAGATAGAATGTAAGATATTTTTTCTGTGTGTGTGTGTGTGTGTGTGTGTTTTTAATTGCTCAGTATTTTTAAGGAGTCTGTCGGGGCAATGGAAAATTTCCTTCTGTGAGTGGAAAACATTATTACCTGTCAGAAAGAAATAGGAAGGAAGTGATAGAAGTAAAGTCTTCATCCTGGTTCATCCAAGCCGGGGACAAATAAGCAACATGGCGACTGCTTTGGGAAGAAGGTTACAGTTTATTGAAGAAGCAGAAAGATGGTTCTTGCAAGAAAGAGCAGAGGAGAAGAAAGAGACCTTGAGCACATGGGCCGTAGGTTTTTATACCCCTCTAGCCTCCTGTTTGGAATAGTTTCCTGTTCCTGTGGCATGAACCTTGAGGATATTTCTGAGTGTTTTTCTAGGCCTTGATATCTGTGGTTTAATCCTATTATCACATCCTGCTTCCCAGGTGATGGGGCTAATGACTCCTAGAGTTTGGGTGGGGCATGCAGATTTTAGGTCTTTGTCTTCTTGGTTGCTCTGGCTTCAACTTTCTGATGGTTTTACATCTGCATTTGTATGGGGCTAGCTCTTGCTTGGGGCAAGGATTTGAAGCCAGAGAGATTTGGTTTCTGCTTTTAAAAACAAAATCCCTTTGAGGAAAAATATATTTTTCTGCCTTTTTAATATTTCCTTCTCTGGGGAGCTGACTTCCCTCAGAAGGAAGGGAGGGAGGGAGGGAAGGAGGGAGAGAAAGAGAGAAAGAAAAGGAAAGGAAAGGAAAGGAAGAACCTCAGCTGATAGCTGCTTGGTGCTCAATGCAAAGTGATTTTGTTAGTGATGTCAATAGAATAAGAATGTTCATCCATAACAGATGAGCCTAAGATTGTATTAGCAAGGATTGTTTTAGTAAAACTTGCTTTCATTCCCACTAAACTGTGGTAAAAGTATAAAACTTAATTTCAGCACTGCTGTTCTTTTAAATGTTCTCTACAAGTGCCTATCAAATTTTCTCAGACCTCATATTCATATTAATTTATATGTTTAATACTCACACTGGAATAATTAGGATAATATGTACATATCACTTTTAAGATAAGATGTGTATATGAAACAACATATGTAACCTAAATCGATTCTTGGAACAATTACCGTAGGGAATAAAATCACACCGAACACGTATAAAAAGAAGATTATATACGAGAAAAAAATGTTAAATACATGTTCCTTTTAAATCGCGTCGACCTGTTATTTGAGTAAAAACTTCGTCTTCGGTAGACATCAAGGAAAGATTGCCTTAGGTATATTTTAAAGCAGAGGTTCTTAAACATCATTGCCACCTGTCCAACTCTGCCCCAAATGTAGCTAAAATAAAACAGAGACAGATGGTACACCTAATGAAGATTACTTTTGTCCCTGACCTGGAAAAGGTGAGCAGATGAAGAGAAAATTGAAGGAGCTAACCTATCTCCAAACATGCTTTAAAGTTCCTGTGGGAAAGAAACTCTAGAGATGGAAAAACTTGAGAAGAATACAAACTTGCTAATCATTTTTGTAGAAGCTTGCCCTTTGCAGAGTTCACAAAAGTAAAATTATATTATAATAACCCCAACCTACTTCAAGCTTTGAAGCTTATTTCATTTCTACTTATAATGAAATTATGTATGGGATATTAATTTTTAAATCTTAATCCATAATATTTTCTTATCTGCCACCACAACTAGAAATGAAAGAATTGGTCAAGTTTGACTGCATCTACTTTACCCATTTTAGATGTGTTAATCCTTATTACCAAAGCCTTTAAAATATATATATTCAAAGACTACATTACTTGTTTTCTTTTGCAAACCTGTATTTTAATAAAAGCCACTTCCTCATTTGTAATACAGCTTCATGCATACTTTCCTATAAATATATGAATTTTGGCAGAAGTAGAAGAGCATCACATTCTGGAAAAGTGCATAAGTACATTTTCCTCTATTATCAGTAACTGAATCAAATAATGACAGTCATTTGTTAAACAACTATCACTGAGAAAGTATCATAACTTTTGCATCACCTGACCAGATCCTTCTAAGACTTTCACTTCAGACATTTGAAGTTGTTAATGCATTAGCTGATGATATCAATTAATATATATGTGAATTAAAATATTAATATCAATAATAATAATAATAATAATAATAATAATAAAGTTGGAAGTGACCTTGGAGGTCTTCTAGTCCAACCCCCTGCTTGGGCAGGAAACCCTACACCAGGCATGTCAAACTGTTGGCTTGCAGGTTGACTGCATCATACTGAAACCATGCCCACCCGATTGCTGGTAATGGAGAAAAAGTCACGATACATCACAATGCCTGCCCTATACCATTTCAGACAAATGGCTGTCCAGTCTATTCTTAAAAACTTCCAGTGTTGGAGCATTCACAGCTTCTGGAGGCAGGTTGTTCCACTGGTTAATTGTTCTATCAGGAAATTTCTCCTTAGTTCTAGGTTGCTTCTCTCTTTAATTAATTCTAAAGCCATTTTGGAACAAGCTTTCATTTGTCAAAAGCTCAATCCTTTTCTCAGATAACATTTTTAGGAGCACCATTTCTTATTATTTATCTCATTTTTTGTTCAACTAGAGCAATAACAAACAGAAAGGAAAGAAAGGAAGAAAGAAAGAAAGAAAGGAAGAAAAAAAGAAAGGAAGAGAGAGAGAGAGAGAGAGAGAGAGAGAGAGAGAGAGAGAGAGAGGAGATCTGTACTCTAATAGTAAATTATCATAAATTATGATAGCAGACAGACAGACAGACAGATATAGGTACATACATACATACATACATGCATGCATACATACATACATACATACTACACATACATGCATACATCTACCAAACTGTTAGGATGGTATTGAATGTGTATACCTGGAAAAATGTTAATGTCCTTTTTAAGTCAGTAAACAATTTGTCCCTGAGGTGTCTATTGAATCACAAATGTGACAGAAATTTAGTGAAATTTGTATTTTTAAAATGTTAATTTCAGAGATAAATGGCAAGCCTTCTCTTCCAGAACTATTTTAGGTGTTCTTTTTAATAGGATAATTTTAAAAGACTGTTGAAATTCCCTGGTTGTCAGCATATTTTACCATGATCATATCATACTATATTAAAAATAAGAAGATAATGGAATTTCAGGCATTTTATTAAACCATTTTGGCTGTTATAGCATTCTGATGCTGTAAATAACCAAGAATCACTAGAGTTTCCTTTTACAGAATTCAAAATGATATTCTTATAGGGAGTGCTGCTTTGTTGAATCAGAGTGAACATAATTCATTTGAACAGTGGGTGTTTGCTTCAGAAGAATAGATGGGTATATGGGATATTAATTTTTAAATCTTAATCCATAATATTTTCAGTTGACGTTGAAGATGCTACTTGATAGTTTCATCTGAATCTAATATTGGTTTGGGTTTTTGGAGCAGAGCTGGTTTCAGGATTAATACATTTTTTTCTGGGCAAATAATTTGAATATCTCCATTATACCTTATATTGTCCCAAGCAGGTTTTATTATCAGCTTTTTCCAGCTCACAGTATGTGGCAGTCATCTTTGGCACAACCCATTTTGTCTGGAACTTCGGGCTAAAAAATTGAGGCACTTGAGTTGTGATTGACTTAATTAAACATTAATAGTTAACATTCCTTCTTTTCCTATTTTAATTGCTACATTTTGTCTACTTTTGACTGGTGGTAAAGTGATAAGAGAAATATTTTTAAAAAAGCACTTAAAGCATATCTCTATATTTAAAGATGGCAACAAGCAGAAATACACCCAAGGTTGATAGCACAATCAAATTTTCAAATATTCTGCTTTTGGGAATATATTTTGGATGCTTGTATTTAGCATGTTTCCTATTAAAATTGTGCATCTCTGAAAGTAGGAGTTGTAGATCTGATTGCAGTGTCATGAGATTTTTTTTCCTCCCTGCAGATGTTGACGAGTGTGCTGCTAAGATGCATTATTGTCATGCCAATACAGTGTGTGTTAATTTGCCTGGATCATATCGTTGCAACTGTGTCCCAGGATATATCCGGATTGATGATTTTTCATGTACAGGTAAGATTTTAACATGATAGCAATCCCCTATGATAACTTAAAAATACAAGGCAGTGACTAATGGGAAGGAACCAAAATATTATTTGTACCATATGTTAGGTAAAAGTTCTTCCTCGAGGAATATAATATAATAGGATAGGATAGGGTAGGGTAGGGTAGGATAGGGTAGGGTAGGGAAGGGTAGGGTAGAGCAGAGTAGAGCAGAGCAGAGCAGAGTAGAGTAGAGTAGAGTAGAGTAGAGTAGAGTAGAATAGAATAGAATAGAATAGAATAGAATAGAATAGAATAGAATAGAATAGAATAGAATAGAATAGAATAGAATTCTTTATTGGCCAAGTGTGATTGGAGTCACAAGGAATTTGACTCCTGTGCATAAGCTCTCAGTGTACATTTAAACAGCAAGTAATAGGCCGTAGATCACAAATCATAATTACAATCATTAGTCATACTTCCCTGAATGTAGAAAAATAACTTCACTGAGTAACATACAGAAACCCATGTTATTAAAACTGTTATTTGTAAGAACTGGGCAAATTTTATATATACCATTATTAATAATATTTATTGGGAAGTTGCAGCATTAAGAAGGCACTAATGTTGAAATATAGTAATTTATATAATCTGATCTATAGTAGTGAAATATAGTTTGTATTCATGGATAAATAAAGATAGAATTATAAAATTTACTATTGTCTTTTAAGATTCAAATCTAAATTACTGTGTGTACTAGTTATTAGCATTTTATAATTTGTCAAAACATTGGGAAGTACACAACTAATATTCATGTAAATATATATTTAGTAATTTCTATTTAGAAAATTATTTTCTATTTAGAAAATTTATATTTTAAATCTGCCTCAAAATTGTGGAAATGAAGGGGTCTTAAATAAACTATTACTATTTTACTTAATGTAACTCAAATCATGCTTCATTAGACTGCATTAACAATGTACAATCAAAGAAATTGGTGAACTATGCATCTATATATTAATGTTGCCAGCATATACTATCAAATATTATGGTATAGTCAGGATGGGTAGAATTTATCCCATTGCATTTTAAATACCATATTTCCTACCAATTTGTATGAAAAATGGAGTATAAGATGAAACCAGTGGTGGGATTCAGCCACTTTGCACCAGTTCAGCAGAACCGGTAGCTATTTTTTTGTTGCCCAGGCCCAGAATGGACTTCCGGAAGCAGCATCCACACAGAGAACCATATTTGAATCCCACATATTTGAATCCCACCACTGGATATTTGAATCCCACCACTGGATGAAACTCATTCAAAGCAGCCAAAAGGACAGTAAGGTTTGTTCAGAAAAGTTTAGTTCAGCGAAGAAGAATGGAGACTTTGAAAAAGGCACAAAATATGGGAGATACTTCCTATAACAAGGACAAATAGTTCCAGTGTGAACTGAATGAAGCAATAACACAGGGAGCAGTGAGAAAAGTGTCAAGATAGATTGGCCAAACTGATGGTTAAAGCTTGTTGGAAAACATAAAAAAAATGTATGAGATTTGTAGTTCTTTGGAGCCATCACATACTACAAGGTGCTGTGTGCAGTGGGTGCATCTTGATTTTTTTTTTTTTTGAAACTTAAGCCTAGCTTGGCAAGTTAAACTATGAGCTGAGTAGTTTATACCAAATGTTTCATTTAAGAAGTAAATAATAAAAGTTGCAAACTGGGTATGCTTCTATGAGTCAAAATAATTGGATAAAAATAACAAGTAAATTGGATGTACTTCCTGACCCTCAGTGAGTCATTTTTTCTGGAAAAATGAGATTGTTGTTTTAAATGTAAGACTTTGTGAAAGTATATAATGATTTGTTGGCTTGATATGGAAGGATGCAAGTCTTATCTAGAGAAGATACCATTTCTTTCTTCTTTCTTTCTTTCTTTCTTTCTTTCTTTCTTTCTTTCTTTCTTTCTTTCTTTCTTTCTTTCTTTCTTTCTTTCTTTCTTTCTTTCTTTCTTGAATAATTTAATATTATTCCTTTCCTTCTCTTTCATACTAATTCAGAATGAGGCCCAAAGGCATGGCATTGTGAGGATAGCTGTCCAGCTTCCCTGATACTACCAGTTATTTGACTACCCCACACAGCAATGGGTGCCAAAGCCCAAATGTTTGTATCCACTCCAAAGCTCCCTTTGGATGGGATTGAATAAGGAGGAAAACATTCATTCAAGACTGTCAAATCTAAGAACATGAGAGGCAGCATATTGAAGTGTTCAAGGACCAGGAGAGGGACCCGAGTTCTAGTTGCTTCTTAGGCAGAAAAGCCAGCTGGATGACCTTGGGCCACTCAGTCCCTCTCAATCCTAACCCATGCCAGGCTCTGTGAAACGTCATCATGTGTTTATATTTTTAACTTTTGAGAAACAAGTAGAATGCCAAGAAAAACAATAACATCTAAGAAAAACTTAAGCCTGTCTCACTGAGGGTCTGACAGCTTAATAATAATAATAATAATAATAATAATAATAATAATAATAATAATAATAATAATAATAATAATAATAATAATAATAATAATAATAATAATAATAGTAAAGTTGGAAGGGACCTTGAAGGTCATCTAGTCCAACCCCCTACTCAGGCAGGAAACCCTATACCATTTCGGACAAATGGCTGTCCAGTCTCTTCTTAAAAACTTCCATCTCTGTACACCCCATTTTTCAATCTAAAACTTTTTTTATTTTTTATTTTAAAAAAAACTGACTTGTTTTGAATGAACTGCATCTGTCTTTGGAGATCAATTTCATAGCTCATCATTCAAGTGTGTTTCAGTGTGCTTTTGTGCTACAGTGAATTGCTTCTAACCTTCATTTCCCCACTGCATCTGTTATATGAATTGGCTAGATTGTCTTTGGTAGGCAATAAAGAATTCTCCAGATTCTCATATCTATAAAAGGATGAATTTCATACAGACACTGGAACAAATGCAGGCTGACCTGGTGCAATTTTAACAAATGATCTGTGAAAAAATAAACAGTGATTTGCCAAAGGTCTCACTGGAGTACCAAAGACAATCTGAAAAGTATATGTAATTGCAGTTTTCAGTATAGATTCAATAGCATTATTAAAAGCCTTTCATGCTTCTGAACAGTGGAAAAAGAATAAGAACCTATTCAACATGTATTCCCAGTTCATTTCAATCTGATGCTCCAATAAAACAATGCTACCTTTGTTAGTTTAAATTATGCCAATTTTTTGTACCTCAAACAGGGAAATGTACATTATCTAAGATCTTTGATTTTTTTTTATTGTTATTGATTATATTTCACCTGGGAATGCAGACCAGCTGAAGATGTAAACAAATGCACAGAGCTCAATTGATGAGCTAAACTGGACCTAAACTTTGCTCAATCAAACTACTTTCCTATTATTGCTCTTCTTGATTCCAACAGAAGCCATTGAAGCAGCTTCTCTATCAGCTTCTCCACTTTTTTTTGTTTAAATTTCAGAGTTCTTTTCTCATAAAATAACTTTCCTCGTTTCTGCAAATATGCCAGGTGTTGGTTATTGATCCTTGCAAAAATCATAAAGTTTTCCTGCTGACTCTTCCTGCAGACTTTCAACAGTGAGGAAAGGCAAACATCTAAACTGCAGGAGGCAGAGATGATGTTACCTGTTCACTTTCTTAGAACTAACAGATTCAAACTCAGCCCAAATAACTTCTATTATCTGCAGTGGATTTGACCAGCCAACTCTGAAGATATAAGTCTTTCTTCTGTTTACTGTTCCTTAATTCAGACTAATTTTCTTTGTGGTTGTATTTGGTAGTTTATCTAGAAGAGTTGAATAGAAATACACCAGGGACACAATTTTGTGAAAAGGTTCTTTAAAAGATAGCCCATGGTGTGTCACAAAGTTAGATTTGTAGCAAGACATGGATATATTACAGAAGCAAATTGTGTATTTGGGAAAGCAGAGTTCATCCAACAGCAGAGAAAAATCAATGATGTTTGTAAATAATACAGATATAATAAGCCACCCCTTGTTTGATATATTGAGAACAAAGCATTGCAAAAACTTTTTCTGTGTATCGTACATTATTGTTAAAATTGTCTTTTCACTTAGAGTAAGAGGAAGAGCACTGTGTGAGAAAACGGATCTGTTGCTTGTTTAAGCATTTGTATAAGTGCATGAGTTCATTCTCAATATTGTTCGAAACATTTTTTCAGGCTCCACTAGGGATTAAATATCAGGTATGATGAAACAGGTTCCCTCCAAATATTTTGGATTTCAGCTGCCATAAACTTAGAAAGCCGAAGTAATAATATAAGGCTCTGAAAATTATAATTCAAAATATTTGAAGGACATGAGGTTACCTGTCCTAAAATATATCATATACTACTCTTGTAATATATTCAGTATGCTATATATTAGACCACTGATGCATTATGACAGGAGAATGGAAGTCATCTTCCTATAATGCTTTTGGGATGAGTTAATGGTGCACAGATGTATTCTCTTTTTACAATTCTGTGCAGAAGGTAAAAGTATTGTTAGAAAGAGTTTTATTTCTGTGTTCATCTTTGTAGAACCAATGTTTACATTTTTAGGTTTTTAAAATATTAGTGTTCAATACATTCATGAACTAAAGGTTTCTGGATCATTTGAATATTCATTTTGTAACAATAGATTTTAAAATCTGAGCATATATTTGAAACCTGGCACCCACAGGATTTGTGTTTTATTTCAGGAAGAATGTGTTTAGGAAGGTATTAATATCCATTTGCTCCTTAAAAAGAAGAAATAAAGCTCTAAATGCATGGAACTTCAAGTACAATTCTTTTTAGAATAGTTTCTCTCTATTTGTAGAAGAATTAGTAGGAGGACTATGATACATAACTGGACATGATTGTTCATTTCCCAGGGGAAGGGAGGGAGGGAGGGAGGGAGGGAGGAAGGAAGGAAGAAGGAAGGAAGGAAGGAAGGAAGGATGGAAGGAAGGAAGGAAGGAAGGAAGGAAGGAAATAAATAAATGTA